GTCGCCTGAGACGGGCGCGCCTGCGCGGAGTGAGACGTGAGGTGCTGGGCGCGCGTGCGCGGGCCCGGCAGGGGCGGGGTCCGGGGTGCGGCGCGGGGGTCGTGGTGGGTGCGTACCACCTCTCCTCGCGGGTGGGGAAACTGAGGCACGGGGCGCGTCCTGAGGGTGCGCGTGCGAGGAGTGCAGTGCGTGCGGAACGTGCGGGTACGGCGGGGAAACTGAGGCCCGCGGGGCAGGCCGGGCTCGGCGGCGTCGACCTCTGTCCTTTTAATGTTGCCTGCGAGTTGACTCTTCTCCCTCAAACAGTAAAGGAAATGCGAAAGCTGGCCCGCCGACGGCCCCAGGGGCTTGCTAGTGAGACTGCAGGTGGAAACGCACCAGGGCCGGGCCGCCTGTAGAGATGGACCTGTGACCCACGCCCTGTGGCCACCAGCTCGGGAGGCCAGCCCCTCACCTGCAGTGACCGGCTGGGAAGCCAGTCCGCCACAAGTCCGCCTTGCAGGAAGTCAGACCAGCATCTCCAGCAGCTGGTCCGGGAGGCCACACAACCGACCCTGTGACGATCAGCCCCAAATGGATAGAACGTGATCAATGACTGACGGTTTCCCCAAGTTCTGTCCTTGCTTCCAGCTCGGGACCAACCAGAGAAAGCCGAACGAGGACACCTCACTTCTAGATCCCCACCTCCCCGGGCCTCTACGGGGCGCCCCTGAGCTCCCCTTTCCACTCTGAAGTCTCCACTCCTCCGCCTGCCTTTGGGTCTCTGCCAAACCCAAGTGACAGGGGGACTCCTGCTACAGTGCGCTCTGAGTAGCAGCCTCTGCTCTTCTCACTGCGGGGGGGCGGGTCTTGGATTCCATTCTAGATAAGGATGCTCTTGAGAGGGGCATTAATCTCCTTAGCTCTTCTTCTGGGTATAGAGGGCCTGGTCTTTCAGTTTGATCATCAGTTCCCATTCTCATTTATTCAACAAGAGTTTACTCCACACCGTCCCTGTAGCAGCCGTGTGCTAGATGCGTACAGGAGGGAACAAACAGAAACAGCTTCTCCACAGGCACACAAATCGCAAAGCCCCGGTAGCATGTTCCCACCCACGCCTCTCCTCTCCGGTGCCTCTCCCTGCGGCTCGGGTCCCTCACGGGGAAAGCTGCCTTCCCTGAAGAAGCTGCTGATATTGAGGCTTCCACCCCATGAAACGGCTTATTTCTCCATTATTTAGGTGTTCTCTGATTTCTCTCAGCAGTGTTCTGTAGTTTTCAGTGTACAGCGCTTGCACATCTTTTGTCAGATGTATCCCTAAATATTCATATTTTTAATATCATTGTGATTGCTATTGTTAAATTTCATTTGATTGGTTATTGCTAGTGTATAAAAATACAATTGATTTTTGTGTGTTGTCACATCCTGCAACCTGCTAAGCTCACCAAAACTCATAATTTTTATAAGCCCTCTGAAGTCTCTATGAGCAATTACCTGGAAATGTTTAAATGCAAACGTTTCTCATTGCAGCCTGGTTTTCCCTCTCCACGTGGAATCCACTACAACTCCCAGCAACTTCCATCACTCAGAGGACCCCATGCGAGGGAAAGGCTTGAGGCCCGACCTTCCCACGGCATCGCTGTAAACCGCCTCTGTGAAGGTTATAGCGGAGGTGGGGGCAGTCTTCCCTGGGGAAGCGGGAGGAGCCCCAGGTCAGAGCTGGAGATGGCAAGCGGAAGGGAAAACTCCATGACTTGAAGATCTGCCCCACTTGGCCCACCACACGCTCACCTGCCCTGCCCTGAAAAAGCAGTGCTGGTCTTAGGGTGGTGGTCAGCACACTTCTTGCTCCTGTAGCCCCTGCGAGAATTTAGAAAAATTCTCCTTCCACGTTTCAAGGAGACATCTAAGTTTTGCATTGTAAACAGTAAATGTAAATGTAAATTTGTAAACGTGAACAGTTGCAAAGGATGTCATTTCTGGCATGTTGTTGTTCTGGAACCAGGTTCATTCTGCGCACCACACAGTAGGCCAATCACTGAATTGACGAGTTTGCAGTCGGGAAGGGGTTTGTTCACAAGGCAGCAGAGCAAGGAGACGGGAGAACAAGTCTCAAATCTGCCTACCCAAAAACGGGGATTAGGGATATTGATGAGATGAAGGGGCAGGGCAGTCTAAAGTGTGGAGATAGAGGATTGGAGGTGAGGAGCAGGGAGGTAACTGACGATCTGCACAAGCGTAGTCAAGCTTCATGGCTCTTCATAGGACACCTCTTCACAAAATGATGGTGTTAACATGATCTGAGGGTGGAGTTTTCGGCCCTCTGACACCAAAGGGTCACCTATTGGGCATTAGAGTGGGCCCAGTTGATGAGCTGGTGGTCTTAACCAGCCTGAACTGGACAAGGAGTCCACTCTTAGTTCCTGAAAAACAACCTGTTACCACAGTGCCCCAAGTGTCAGAGATGTTATCTATAGAGTGGGCTTTAGCAATGCATTATCTAACTCCTTTCCAAGCAGACAAATAACTGAGTGTAGTTAAAGCTCTTTGTCCCCCAGTTTCATTTTAATCAAACTTTTCATAACACTGAAATGTATACAGTGGCTGCTAAGTACCAAAGTAATTTGATAGTCACATCATCCAATTAGAAAATACATTAATAATTGTCCTCTTTAACAGGAAATTTTGCATCTTTCATTTTTCTTCTTGAATCTGCATGTCGGTTTTACTTTCTCCTTATAAATTTATCAAAAGGTGATATCTTTTTATTTTTGAAAGTCTTTTATTGATCACCCTATCATATATCTATATATAACCCCAGTTTAACCAGGAAAAAAACCTCAAACAAATCCCACTTGAGGGACATTCTACAAAATACCAGTCCTAGACCTCAAACTGTCAAGGTCATCGAAAAGAAAGGACAGTCACAGCCAAGAGCAGCCTAAGGAGACGGGAGACTAAATGTCACGTGGTGTCCTGGATCAGATCCTGGGACAGAAAGAGGACATCAGGTAAATACTAAGGAAATCTGAATAAAACATGGACTTTAGTTAATGATACATCAATATCGTTTCATTAATTATAAGAAAGATACCATACTAATGTTAAGATGTTAATAATAAGGGAAACTGGATGTAGGGTATATGGGAATGCTCTGTACTGTCTTCATAATTTTTCTGTAGATCTAAAATAGTTCTAGAAAATAAAGTTTTTCAAAAATAATATACTAGATGCTACTCATATGAAAATGTGTAGTATTGAATGCGTTTTAAGATAAGGTGTAAATGAACTAAGTACTTAAATGAAAAAGCTAGGAAAAAACCTTAAATAGAAATTAATAAATTTATAACATTTTTATAAAAGTAATACAAATTAAAACAAAATGAATGAGTTAGAAAGATTTGTCTTCAATAAACTCGAATTTTATTTTAGTGATAAATGACGTTTTGGACAATAAAAGGGGACATTACTACAAATTCAGAGGAAATTTAAAACATGATGCGAACATCACGTACACATTTATACTAACAAAAACTAAATAAAATGATTTCCAGGAAAATATAAATTACCAAAGCTGACTCATAAGGACGTAGAACTTCTGAAGGGGTAGAGAAAACCGGAAAGGTCGTTACAGATCTACTCTCCCCGAAGATGTCAGATTCAGACAGTTTTATGGACGAGTCCTGACAAACCTGCAGAGTGTGGATGGCATCTGTGTTATTTCCAGGGTGTGGGCGGGCAGTGAGACTTGACCCGTTCATGCTGTGAGGCTGTTACAGTCCTGATGCTCCCGTAGGAAGAAACAGGAAGAAGTAGCACAGGACCACTTTCACTTAGGAATACACATGCAAGGATACTGAATGACATGCTATCAAATGGAATTCTGAAGAAGATTCATACATCACAACCAAGGAAGGTCTCTCCCGGGAACATAAGGAGGGTTTAATAAATATAGTTTTTAAAAGGTTAAAGAGGAAAAACTATTTTGAACATGCCAACAATCAGAAATACCCGACAGATCAAAGATTAAGAATAATCATCATTTTAGAAGTAAAAATAGTTCAATACACATTCATGACATAAAATGCGTACACACCAAAAACAAACTTAGTAAGCTGGAAAGGGAGGAGAAGTTCTCGGTTTATTAATCAGTACGTAGAAGACATTTATCAATTGTTGTTGGCTGCTCAACACCAGAAGCCCTGCTCAGAACCTCAACTCCCTACTTTTCAGTCTGTAGAAACTTAACGTATGGCTCTCTCATTCCTGAGGAGCAGCCTGCCGCTTCCTGGAGCAGCCGTGGCGGCAGCGGGCTCCAGCGCCCCGCGCAGCAGTGGTACAAGTGTTTCCATCTCATGGAGAGGTTGACTCACTGGGCCAGCTGTGCA